CGCCCTCAACCCCTATAAACCCTACACCATCCATCCTTCACCCTAAAACCCTAAAGCCCTCACCCCCTAAAACCCAGACCCTAGAGGGGCCCCGCCAAGGGACAAGAAAAAGAAGACGGTCATAAACCGCGCGTGGTCGATGCTATCCGGAGCCTAGAGAGTCGGGGATTCTTTTCGGGTTTGGTGTTTAGGGTTTAGGGGTTTAGGGTTTAGGGGTTTAGGGGTTTAGGGGTTTAGGGGTTTAGGGGTTTAGGGGTTTAGGGGTTTAGGGTTCGTCCACTTCTGGTTTAGTTTCTCTCTGTTTAGCGCTCCACCGAAGCCATGATTGGCACATTGCATATCGGAGCCCGACTTTGGCAACGATTCAGGAGGACTCTCTCTCATCACCGACTCGGGAGGACCCCAGGACAAGAACCCAAAATGAGCCAACCGTATGCCAAGTTCGCCACCACCGACAGAGTAGAGATTTCCGGGCCCCCAAAAAGTCTACTGCACACTGAGTGGGACAGAGATGTCGGTTTAGGGTTTAGGGTTTAGGGTTTAGAGCCAAGGCCCCCGACACCGCCCATGGACTGAACACAAACCAGAACACAACACCAAGCAACCCTAAACCCTAAACCCTAAACCCAGCAGGCATCCGAATTTTCTGTGTACTACACCGGATTCAAGTTGTACAGGCATCACGAATTCTAAAGACATCCCGACAACCAAAGAGTTGCTACTTTAGCGGAAAGGTGTAGCAGGAAAGATACAGTAGCTAAGGGGTAGGATATGATATGCCCCTTCACACCCTGGCACTGTAGAAGAAGAGGGCGGCCACTCAAAAGCAGCGCCTACTCATTTGAGTCAGCTTTGCGTTATCAGAGGTTCCTGGGGTCAGTAGTAGGGATTAGGGTTTGGAAAGGCCCCGAACTGAAACCCTAAACCCTAAACCCCAAACCCTTTTCTGTATCAGGCTTCTACACCACTCTTTCCCAGCAGCCCTGACCCTGAACCTAGCTTGGACGAAAGAAGGCCTTGAAAGCCCTAAAGCTTTAGGCCGGGTTTAGGGTTTGGGGTTTAGGGTTTAGGGTTTAGGGATTAGGGTTTAGGGTTTAGGGAGGGTTTAGGGTTTAGGGGCCCAGCTGTTCAGCACAAGTTTTGCCAGGCAGCTGTGTCGTGGTGACAGGAGTAATGTCCGCGCCCTGCCCAGGGGTCATTCCAGGGCTTCGGTGGCCGCAGGCGGGGGGGGGGGGGGGAAACCCTAGGAGCCCCGTACCACCCTAAGCCCTAAACCCTAAACCCTTTTTAACCTAAGACCTAAACCCTAAACCCTAAACCCTAAACCCTAAACCCTAAACCCTAAACCCTACAGCGAGCCCCTGGGGCCCTGACCCACCCTGGCCGGTAGCTTTCCTACGGGCTTAAACCTGCAAGAGGGATATGGGGGAGGCGCTGAACACACCGGGGTTAGGGTTTAGGGTTCAGGGTTCAGCGTTTTAGGGTTTAGGGTTTATAGGATTTAGGGTTTAGGGTTTAGGGTTTAGGGCGGGCCTGCAGGATACCGCAAGACTTGCATGCTTTCTGCAACGTTGTGGACCAGGGACAGCGGTAAACCAGTGACCTGGAGATGCTGAAAGGGTTTAGGGTTTAGGGTGGAGATGCTGACAGGGTCGGAGACGTTGGGCCGTTAGTTAGGGGTCTAGAATGCGCTTTTAACCCTATGAGCCCTATCAACCCTGAACCCTTTTCACAACCCTAAACCCTAAACCCATTTTGCTAAACCCTAAACCCTTTTGCAACAGGCTCTAAACCCTAAACCCTAAACCCTAAACCCTAAACCCTAAACCCTAAACCCTAAACCCTAAACCCTAAACCCTATAAACCCTTTTGCAACGAGCTTGGCTGTGCTCCCGCCCGGCTTGGCTGTCCCAATACTCTGTACTCGTGACAGGGCCTCGGCGACGACTCAAACCCTAAACCCTAAACCCTAATTAACCCTAAACCCTAAACCCTAAACCCTAAACCCTAAACCCTAAACCCTAAACCCGGAAAGAAGGGACGAGCTCAAAAGGCCCTTGGATCCGCAAAGTCCATCGACTCCCTGCCCTTAAGGATCCAAAAGCCATGATGCTCTGTATTTAGGGTTTAGGGTTTAGGGTTTAGGGTTTAGGGTTTAGGGTTTAGGGTTTAGGGTTTAGGGTGAGAAGCTCATCGGCCCTAAACCCTGAACCCTAAACCCGAAACCCAAACCCGAAACCCTAAACCCTTTTTTGCATCAGGACTTGTGCAACCACCTGAAAGTGTGAGCACACGGATACTCAGTGCTGGTGACTGCGTTTCCACGCCTTGCTCAAAAAACTCGAGGGGACCGCTTCAAAGACGTTTAGGGTTTAGGGTTTAGGGTTTAGGGTTTAGGGTTTAGGGTTGAGTAATGCACCTCCCGAAAAGCGACTAAATCAGCATCAGCATCCTCGCCGGAGACCAGTAACTGAAAACACAACTGATCCCCCAACATAGCCAAATGGTGCAGATGGGTTTTCATTGATTCAAGGTCAGCTCCGCACCGAGGTCATATTGCATCATGCCATCTTCAGTGTCTAAGAGAACTGCTTTGTAACTGCTGACACCCATGGTATTGCAACCTCGCACCGCATACACAATTTGCAGCCATGGGATTGCATGTTTGAGAGGCCTGTCCCAAGTTTGAAGTGTGACAGCAGAAAGTATGGGGCAACAACTCCCACTTCCATATGTTTTGCCCTACAGCCTTCCACGTTTCCCGATCTGCAGCATACTGACCCAACCTATTTTCAAGCTCCGGCAGCCTCGCTGGTTCCAAAGGCAAGGGCGCAGCAGGGTCATGCAACTTGGAAGCTGTTTGCGCCGGCCACTGCTCCTCTGACCCTAAACCCTAAACCCGAAACCTTCAAGGAAGAAGTTCGCGAAGACATTCGGCCATGATGCTGCGGCAACTTTGTCCAGAACGCCACTGAGAAACCCATGGTCGGTATACCTTGCTGCGACCCGTTAAATGAACCCAAACCCTGAACCACTTCTTCTTCTTCTCTATGATTCTGACTGTCATCATCTTTCATGTGTTGACTCTTCCTGAGCCTGACTATGGATATGAAACCACGCGTGTCAAGCTGTTGCGGCGCGGAGATTGTAGCCAACATCGTTTCGACCAGGCACACTCCCCATTTGCAGGTTCCCGGATATCTGGCGTCGCCGAAACCGCTCCCACCACTCTTTTGATGATGTTCTGCTACGAATCTGGCTTGTGCTCCTGGGGCCTTGGCAGCACGTGTCCCGATCCTGGCATTTTGCACCTGATGTTCGGGCTGAACTGCACTGATGAGTTTCGTTTACGACAGAATTCTTACTGATCATTTCATACTACTATTTAGCATCAAAGTTCCTACGACGGCGTTTCTTCTTCCTAGTATGTCTATGTTGGATCATACTTTGCTAAGCCACTCGCATCATTGTCTAAAGCGTTGGCACAGCATGCGTGCGGACGATGCACTGGTCTTGAAAGTGCCCTCCACTGCTCCGCAGCATGTATGAGCTCTAGTCAGAGACAAGTATACTCTTGTCGTATTCTCACTACTCTTCCTCTTATGACTCTTCCTCTTACGAGCATTTCTCTGTTTTGGAATTACAAGGTTACAGTGGCATGTAGATACTGCAGGTTCCAAACCCCAGCAGGAACTACTGCCCTTTGCTCCCTGCCGGGTCGCGACAGCCAGGCCTGGCTTGAATGCCGCGAGAACCTCACGGCTTCTTCTCTCGTCATTTGCTGGGGGCTTTGGCTTTTAGGGCTTCTTGCCGGCTTCCTTGCTTCAGGGTTTGGTATACTGTGCTGGTATACTGCGCGGAGGATTGGGGGCTTAAGGCTGAAGCGGTCAAAGGCCCCAAGCACTAAGGGGTAGTGTTGTATCCTGATGTCTGCGGTCCCCCGGAATTTGTAGAAAATACATGCGGAACATATTCAGCGGCGGGAGCAATTTGATTTGGTCCCCGGGGATTGTGAAAGCAAATCCGGGCGATGAGAAACTTCGGCGAGGAAGCCTTCGGAGTTCCTGCTGACAGCCTTCTGAGTTCCAGTTCAAAAACCTCGCCAGACCCCTCCCTCCCACGCTGAAGGACGGGATCATTCTGATGAGGAGGGAGGGGGGGAGGGGGGCGGAGAACGGCGGAGGGGGGGGGGGGGGGGGGGGAACATTCATCAGCATCCGCCCACTGCGTGAAAAAGTCGCTCGAAATGCAGCCTTTGGAGGCTTTATCTTTAATGTCCACAGAAAATCAAAGGATCTTTCGTCGAGGCCGAAACGAGGCATTGAAGAAACATCTGACGAGTGGACCACTCTGCCATATCCCCCCCCTCCCTGATGCAGGAGCAGACGCTGGCTTTGCATCTCAGGATGACATCGACTCACAAGAGCCTTCTTGTAGGGTTCTTGAGGGACGGGGGTTCAAGGGGGTATGTAACCCAAGGTTCCGCAATACTCCTGATATTTTTCAAGCTTCCCAAAGGTTCCCTAGGTACCTACCCCCCATGAACCCTATCAGTAAGTAAGTAAGCAAGTAACCAAGAGAGAGAGAGAGAGAGAGAGAGAGAGAGAGAGAGAAAGAGAGTGTGTGTGTTCTGAAGGCGATCAGCAGCCAGTCCTTCATCTGCCAAGAAGCCACTCAGGATGGGTCGACCAGCACGAGCGGAAGAAAGCCTCTTTTTTCGCTTCAAAGCTGCACATGTTGAGTCGCCTCACCCCTCTGCCCCCAATCCAGCTGTCAGCACCTTCAACTACCGATGTTTCTTAAGAACCCTCAAACAATGAAGAAGAATAATCATCCGCATAACTGCCCTAGTAAGGACGAATGTGTTTCGCTTTTGGGTGGCCCTTAGGCAAGTAGCAGTCAACTTCTGACAAAGGCCTGCAAATCACTCAGGCGAGAAACCGGCCAGTCCACCTCTTGGATTTCCTTCTTTCGCACCTGAAAGAGGTGTTTAGCAATGTTTAGCAGACAGACCGATAGCTAAGTAGTCCTCCAGCCTCCCCCTCGACAAAGTTTTCAACAAAGACACCATCCTGGCCGAGCTTACAAAGAATCTGCAGAGGCTCCTTCCGGCCAGCCGCCGCTTCTTCGGCGGCCTTCGGCGAACCCAACCTCCGATTGCGGGCTCTATGCGCAGTTCTTGTATTCCGTTATTCTGGGTCGCCTGCGCACGTGACAACAGAAGACGTTGCAAAGCATGCGGGCAACAGTCGTCTTCTTTGGCTTTTTTCTTCTCTCTTTCTCTCGCTCTTTTTTCGATCTTGCCCTCTCTCCCTCCTCGAACTGAAAACAAGGATTAGCGAAAGCTGTGCCAACATTTCGGTTCGCGGGGCTGGTCGGCCAGGAAGGCGGTGTAGTTCACGTCGACCATGTCAGCCGCCTGCGCTTGGTTGCAAGCATTGCCTGTGGTCCCTGAAGCCACAGAACCCCAAAAATGTGCTTTCGTAGGATTTTTCGCCTGGCACCTGCCATCTTTACCCTAAACCCCAAACCCTAAACCCTAAACCCTAAACCCCCTCAGGCCTCATGCCCACGATGCCCTAAAGCCACCTCGCAGCCTGTCTCTGCTTCCATAGGAAGCTGCCTGTTTGAGGGTAGAATATGACCAGGATGGGCTATTCTACCCTATAATCCCTTAAAAGGCCCTTTATAGGGGTTCATTTAAGGGGATCTTAAGTCCCAATAGCCCATCCTGGGAAGATCAGAAGCAGTGCGAAGCAGCACCCCGCTTCTTGACGACGGGGATTTCTTGCATCCGCTGGCTGCAGTTGACCGGGCAGTTCCACCTACAACCCTCCATCTGCCCGCGTGCTCAGCCTCACTGTCGCAAGAACAAACCCCCACCGCCCCGCAACCCCTGCCCTCCCACAAACCGTACTCCTAAATCCTGAACCCGAACTCTTCTACACTCCTTATCTCATCAAACCATGTACACCCAAATCCAGGCCTCACGGAGAAACTCCGCCAGCTCCAGACGATCTAGCGCCCCGTCCCGGTTCGCCTTGCTTGACAGGTCTGCGGCTTCTGTGGGTGGAGGGACTCATGGACCCTAAGCCAGAACTGATTCTGGGGCCCATTCCAAAGTCCAAAGGCTTGAACTTGAACAGAGGCATATAATCCTCACCTCGAAAATCTCTAAGCTCCCAAAATCTAGGCTCCAAGCCTAAGTATATTAAAGAGATGCCACGGAACCCCCCCCACCCCCCCCCCCCTCACCCCTCCCTTCCCTAAACCCTAAACCCTAAAATCTAGGAACCCTATGAACCCTAAAACCCCCAAAAAAAGCCCAGACAAAAACACAGCCGCACGTCAGCCCAAGGCGCGTCCACCGCCGCGAAGATGCGCTTCGCCAGTTTCTTGGTCACGGGTTCTTTGTCGACCATCGTCAAACCTCGGTGGGGGAACCCTCATACCCCTTCCTACTGCCACCACTGCTGCTCCTGCTCCTACTCCTACTCCGACTCCGACTCCGACTCCGACTCCGACTCCGACTACTACTACTACTACTACTACTACTACTACTACTACTACTACTACTACTACTACTACTACTACTACTACTACTACAACTACAACTACAACTACAACTACAACTACAACTACGACTCCTGCTCCTGCTCCTGCTCCTGCTCCTGCTCCTGCTCCTGCTACGGCTGCTACGACTACTACTACTTCTTCTGCTTCTTCTACAGCTACTACGACCACGACGACTACTACTAACACTGACCTTGCAAGAAGGGGGGGGTTTGGGGGAGGCCTCAGGAAGAGTAAAACCATGGCGCACATTTGCCGGCCAAAGTTGGGTGTAGAGCTGGAAGTACTGCATCAACTTTGGATACTTGAGGCTGGGGTCTTCAGATTGGAAGTGAGTCTAGCGGTTTAAGGGTCCGGTGGTTCGCTTTTGTTGTCCCACTGTCGGAGGTTTAGTTTGGGGTTTCTAGGAATTCAGGGTGATTCGCGCGCGTCGATCTCGCACATTCTTCTACAGCGACAAGTCATGTGAGCCAAGGCTACAGGATGCAGGTCTGACCCCTAAACCCTAAACCCTAAACCCTAAACCCTCAGTCTGATCTCAAACTCCTAAGCCCACTCTCGTGGACATGACTCCCCACCCAGCGCATGAAAGGGATGCGAGAACTTTTCAAGAAAGTCGTAAGGGTTTAGGGTTTAGGGTTTAGAGTTAGGGTTTATATAGGGTTTAGGGTAACCCTATAGGCCCAGCATTTCGCAGTTGAGGGTTAAAGTTTAGCCCTTGACATTGACCTTTTACTTACTTCCGAAAGCATCTGTACATCTACAGGCCATGCAATAGGGCTTTGTGCCTACCTCCCTAAACCCTTTCAACCCTAAACCCCTACAGAAAGGAAACCCTAAACCCTAAACCCTAAAACCTGGACACCTAGGAGGCCACAAGAGACGTGTGGCCAGGCAGCTTCGCTCCAAACCCTCGGACAAGGCGGCTGACTGGATCGCGCGCATCTCCTGCGCCAAAAGCGCCAAGGGCTTTAGGGTTTAGGGTTTAGGGCCCCCCCCCCTCCTAGGAGACCTCTCGGACGCACGGCAGGGCACTAACTGGGGAATGCAACTCCAACTGAAGAAAAGGTTCAGCGCTTAGATCCTCCAAGAACTGCAGCGAGCAAACCACACCACACGACACAGTGTGCAACCAAACGCCGACTAGGACTGCACCCCATGAATCGTCTGCCCTCTCTTCCAACTCTCCCTCTCAGATAGAGCACTACAAAGTCCAACAACCAATCAACTCAACGTTCAAATTTCACACACAAACACGAATAAGCGCACTCCCTTCCCCAGCTCAATGTTTCTCACAAGCCGTCAGAAGCTACATGCCGATCTATGTTTCCAAGGCGTCCACACAACGGTCCCGACACAAAGACGTCTCAGGGAAAGAGAGGAGAAAGCCGGCCAATCTTGAACAACCGCACTCAGCCAGAAGCTTCTTTGCAGAATCTGGTGGAGTTTGGTGGAGTTTGGTGGAGTTTGGTGGGCTGCAGGGCGCGCACTCAAAGCCTTCACACTCGGCGAATTGCCGTTGCCGCATGTATGTGAATGCCACTGCGGTTGGACTCCCGAAGCCCTCAAAAGCACGATGTTTCCCAGAATCTCGAAGCTCCCTCTCCTCGTCACGAAGGAGGCCTTCAATCAGAAAGACGGGAAGCCCAGTGCCTTGGAGGGCACTCGGAAGCTCTCGGAGGGGGGGAGGGGTTGGGCCTCATGGTTAAATCCTCACCCTAAACCCTAAACCCTAAACCCTAAACCCTGAACCCTGAACCCTAAACCCTAAACCAGGCATCCGAGGCTTTCTTCATCCTCACAAAGTGTGCACTCTGCGCATCTCTCCCCAGGCTGTGCCCGGGCATTTGGGGACCCTTTTTTAAAGATCCTCTACGGGAATTCGAGGGCCATATTAAGGGAACCTCTTAAGACCTCTCAAGGGTACATCCTTCGGGTCCCGAGTATGACTCCCTTGACTCTGCACCCCACAAAGGTCCCTCCACATCGCCAAACAGGACGGAAACCGGGTCAAGAGAAATGCTCCAGCCATAGCGCTATAGCCTATACTATAGCAGAATTAGTTTCTGGCGAGCTTTGAGGATAATTTTATCGGCACCCCCTAAACAAAGCAATTTCTCTTTTGGGGTAGCAGGTGCCAGGAAAAGTAGGCAAAAACGGCTTCAAGACACCGCCAGAATTCACCCAAAAACCTGAAACCCCGCACCATGAACCAGTGGTTCAACCTGTCCCCTTTGTTCTTACAGTCCGTTTTCAAGACCGTACAGCTTTGCAATACGTGAGAAATCGGCACCTGGTGACGCAACGTATTTGGCATGATGTTCCAGGTTCGGCTCGTTTTTGTGGCCTATGGCCGGAGCTGTCTTTGCATAGGTTCGTACAAAGACTCGCCTGCCCGGACATTTCTAGCGTCCAACAACTCTCTAATGTCGCGCTCTTTACGGATGGTTCTTCTCTGCATCCGAAATTTCACACCATACGGTTGGCAGATTCCTCGGTTTTCCTCGGAACACGACGATGTGGTTTGGAGGGGCATCGCGCCGCCGGCAGATCAACAAATTGACCGTGCTGAAATTTTGGGCGTCGCTGTCGCCTGTGCTGCTTTCCGGTATTTTTTCTGACTCCAGCTATGTAGCGCAACCTGGCAGTAGGATTTTACAGCAGTTGAAGCGTGGTTTCGGCCCTCATTTGCCTAGATCTAATTTGGACTGCTGGGATTTTCTCTTGAATGCGTCGCGGGGGGCTGATCTCGAGCATCTTGATTTAGTCAAGGCAAAAGCTCATCAGGATTGCAACAGCTTGTAGGCTTAAGGTTCTTCCTGGTTGAAAGCTTCTTTCCGATTGAAGCAACAAGCTGATGTGATCATGCGCTATCACGCCGATGTCGCAGCGTGTGTAGTCTGTAACCCTAGATCTGCAACAACGGTTCCAAGCCTGTTTCAGTTAGCCTGCACAGTTTTCAGTCTGATTGTGATGCTTGTTGGAAACCGTCATGTTGAAGCAAATGCATGTGGTAAATCCCTCCATCCGAAATGCATGAAAGTGCTCCGCTGTTGCTTCTCCCGCGTTGGTTGCCTTCCTTGGCGCAATGTTGCTTTTCAAGATGCGTCCTGGCTTGAACTGATGTGGTTTTTGTGTGTGTGTAGCACTGGTGTTAGCATCACTGTTCGGGTAGAAGGAGACTATGTCATCAGAGGTGACGGTTAAGATGCAGACTTTGTGCTTGTGGAACCTACCGTGGTGCAAATGTTGAGAACCTTTAGGCGTTTCAAATCTTGCATCAAAGAGCGTTTCCACGGCGCAGTCGTGCCACGCAACAAAGTCAAGACAACCGTTTCAGCAGCAAAGCTAGTTCATGGTTGGGATAGTATTAACAAAATCAAATGTCTATTCCTTATTGGGTTATTAAGCACCCTGAATAGATGCAAAATGTTACCCAACTATGACAAAGAAAGCTGGGCTGGTCACAAAGAACTCTGGGAGCGACTTTTGGCGTCAGTTGCCGGCGAAAACATCGGTGAAGAGCCCCTGTCATTTCACCCTGACATATCCTGACCTTGAAGGGTAGGGATGCGCCTTTGAACTCGTGACGTCGGCTCGAATTTCGCATTGTGATCCTGTTTTTTTTTTCCTGTTTCAGTCGGACTGGGCTGGCGAATTATGTCCAATCGGCGTTGCGGCCCGCCGCGCCAGCCATATTGCATTGCCTTGTGGACGCCGCATTTAGGGTGTAGGGTTTAGGGTTCCCTAAACCCTAAACCCTAAACCCTAAACCCTAAACCCTGAACCCTGAACCCTGAACCCTAAACCGTCATCCCTGGTCCCTTTTGGCCACCCAAGTGGCTGAAGTCGCTCAGCGTCTGAACCTCTACCGCGCGACCTTCGGCGAGCTGCACCTTCCCAAGCGTGCATGGCTGGGTTTGAGACTGGGTTGAGGGTTAGGGTTTAGGGCTTAGGGTTTAGGGTTCAGGGTTCAGGGTTCAGGGTTTAGGGTTTAGGGTTTAGGGTTTAGGGACCCCTAAGCCCTTCTGCAATATACCAGCCGGAAATGGGAGCCAAGGGGGCCCTACTCCACGCTGCTCCTAAACACTAGACTGCTGGATTTTGGGTTGCATGTTGCTTTAATCGAGACCGCACCACAGGGTCCACGAGAACGAGGGCTTCACAGAAGAAGAAGAAGCAGAAGAAGAAGAAGAAGAAGAAGAAGAAGAAGAAGAAGAAGAACAAGAAGAAGAAGAAGAAGAAGTAGAAGTGAAAGGTCGGTCAGTATATCGGACCCCAAACCCTAATCCCTAAACCCCCCTAAAGGGAACGAGGTTCGGTGAGCGCGACTATCATGCCAGGTGCTGATTCAAGGGCTCCCAAAACTGACTACTTTTTTGGGGCTCTACTGGGGGGCGGCTCTGTCGTAATAAATAACTTTAAGGTTCAGGGTTCAGGGTGGCAGCAACCACGGTGCGGCGCAGTGTTTTTTGTTGGCGGTTGTAGGGCCAAAGGCATTTGCTCATCTCAGACCCCTGGGACCCAAAAGGGGAGTCCGCTTTTTGCATGCTTCCAAACCCTTCAAAACCCAGGCTTCAGAAACCCAGGTGCTTATTGCCAGGGTTTAGGGTTTAGGGCGGGTTCAGGGCTGGCTTTGGGTTTAGGGCAGGAGCTCGTAACATGGCCCTGACATCTACATTCTTGGCTCCCTGCGAGCCTTCGCCCGGTGACCAACTCGGACCGGGTCGCGCATCAAGAACCTGTGCTTTAGGGTTTAGGGTTTAGGGTGTAGGGTTTGGGGTTTAGGGTCTAGGGTTTAGGGTGTAGGGTTTGGGGTTTAGGGTTTAGGGTTTCGGGGGGCTTGGGG